TTGCTTTTTAGAAATTCTTAACTATTTCTATTCATTGTTTGTTTTGTTTTTGTTCCTCTTTTGTTACAAAATCTCAAGCGATTTTTCTTTTTATATTATTATATTTATGTATCAACTGTATTCGCGTTGTAGAAATATTCTATTTTTTATTTAACATAAGTTGGCACTTATCATGAATGTAAAGTCTATGTACTTAGAATCAATTTATTAATAACAGTACATATATCAAGAAGTTATTAAAGACAAAAAAACAAAGAAAGAATCATAGAAAACTATCAAATTAACATTTTTATTATTTATCAATCTATTTTAATTAACTATAATTGAATCTATTTTTATAATAATTAGTTCAATAAATATTGAACTAATTATATTAGTTGTAGTGTTTTGGATTAATTGGTTTATATTAAGAATGTTATTTTTTCTTTATATGTGTCTTATTGATATGTAATAAGTAAATAAGTAAATAAATAAATAAATATCATTAGTGTAGAATAAAATTTATATAGATAAGATAAATTAACTTTGATTTATAAATAAGTTTTCCAAAAAGAAAAAGAAAAAGAAAAAGAAAGAAATTCGTTTTTCATTTAAAAGAAAACAAGGAAACTTAGTTTTTAATAAAAACCCATCATTGTTGATTGGTCTAGAAAATATCTTTATTTATTTCCCGGAAATCACTTATCAGAACTTGTTCTTCATATTATTTTTACTCCATTATTAATCCTAAGGATTTTGGTTCTCTATATAAATGACATGATTTTCTTTTCTCATCGAATAGTAAACTGTTAGGTTTCATATTATTTTGCATGAAAATCATGTATGCATCGATGAATCCATGGAATAGTCTAGTAGAAACTAGTAATGATGAAATGGGTGTCATTTTTTTCCTTTCTCTCTTATTTCCTTGCTATAATACAAATTACATACCGCCAAGAAGAGCTGCTGTTTTGATTCCTGTTTTAGCCGAATAGGGATCCTCGAATGAAATTTGTTGTTGCTGGGTTGATGAAATGGAAGAAAAAAAAGAAGAAGTTATATTTGCAGTGTGCAATGAGAAAAGTGTAGCAGTCGTAGTGGCAGTAATAGTAGTGGTCGTTGGGCGTATTCGTCGTGTCTTTTGTTGTTTTTGTTTATCGCTGGTTAACTGACGATAAACAGATGAAGTTGTTACAATATTTTTTGATGATAGAGTTGGCGAATTGATTACATGATTGAGAGGGGGCATTGTCGGCGGCGGTGCTCTTCATTGCTATATCTACTAATGTTAGTCTAAATTGCCGCTGCTGCCACTCACTTTCATCGTCTTTCAGTACACGCATCGAGTAATGGGTATGTTTGCAATAGTCATATGCTAAAAAATCTGAAAACAAAACAATCGAGAAAGAATAAAAAAAAAGAGAGGAAGGGAAAAGAGAAAGAAAGACAGAAAGAAAGAAAGAAAGATACTTTCATTTCATTAGTTCGAGTGAGAGAAAGGAAATGAGGAAAGTCAAACTCGATTTATATTATTGATGATGACTATAAAATAAATATGATGTTAGTAAAATGTTTCAAGCAATGACTATACAAACATAGTGAACTAACATGATCGATGAAAAACAACAGTAGAAAAAGACGCTAGGTGAATAATACTATTTATGTTCTTCAATTTTTCTTTCTTACTCTCTCTTTATATCTCTCTCTCTGTCTCTCTGTCTTTCTCCTCCTTCTTTTGTGTATTTGATCTACCTTGTGGTAGAAACATTACTTATATACATGAGCACAAATGCTTCAAGGTCTCGTTTACTTATTTCATTTGGAACTATTTTTTTTTTCTTTTGCATTCTGTCACAAGTAATCAAGGCGTCAAACAATGTAGTCATAGTATTGCTGGAAAAAAAATAATGAGATCATGTACATATTGATTCTCAATATTTAGATGTTATGATATTTGTTTCCTTTTTAACCAGAGAAACATAAACTATTAAGAGAAATTGTACTTAACTATACATTTTTCTTTTCCTTTTTTACAATGCTTCAATCAAATCTTTTAAGTTGAATATTCAAAAAAGTAGCCATATGTCAAGATAAAATCTACGATACGATAATTAAAATTATGAAAAAAGAAACATTCAATAGTGACAATAACAATATAGATAAAAAAAACGGCAAATAGTCAAACCATGTGTCTTGTTGTATATCTTGGATACAAATACTACTAATGTTGGAAAAGGAAAGTGATTCTTTATTTCATTTGCTTTTACTATAGAGAATAATATACGAAGAACAGACAAGTCAGAAGGTGTCAGTCGTTATGTTGTCGATGCCAGAAAAGCAAACTAAAATTCGCACATACACACAAACAAATCATCATTGATGTCGTTGTTGCCATCGTCTGTCTTCTTTCTTTCTTTCTTTTTCATCCATCTCGGATCACAGAAAAACGATGAGAAGCGAAAATGATCGTTCTTGTTCTTGTTCTGTTCTTTGTCAAGTTAGATGACGTCGAGTGTTGTATATATGTTGCTTGATGAAAAGAGATCTCCTGGCAATTAGATGCGTGAGCATGTGCGTTTCCTTCTTCACTCTATGTATCAGTCTTCATGCATAGTGTGCATTCGATTCTTTGAGCCGACAAAAGAAAAAAAATGAGAAAAGATGCAAAAGAGCAACCAACACAGGAATGACAAACGGGTGCTAATCATGTTGCACTAGCATCCATAGACGTATACACATGAAGCCGGAAAAACACAATTGACAAGCGAGTGGAACTTCCGTTTGAGTTGTCACCAGACTTATGTGCTCACAAAAGATATCAATGCAAACAAATATATCGGAACAAATATTGTTGTTCATTTTAAAATGCTTGAATCTAATATGTGTTTGATTACCATCAATTCTAGTCGATAAAGACAAATATTTATATTTAGTTTATTACGTTGAGAATTCTATTGTAGGAAAAGAAAACTTTTCTTTTTCGATGTACTTTTGACGAAAGGAACCTATTAAAAAGTCATGAATCTATATATGAGTGTATATCATGTTATATAAAATATTTTGTAAAGACATTAATTACTGTACAGGTATATTTTTTTGGCTTCATTTTTAATAAAGTATAGGTGATTCATAGGCATGTACTTTTCCACGTGTCATGATAAAGTTTGAAAAAAGTACAAGTAGTCATATTAAAGACTACCTACACGAATATATAAATAAGATGACAACTTCATAAAAAAAAAAAGTTATAATATAATGTCTCCTAAACATCATACTCTCAAAGCTACTTACAGTTATCAAAACCCAGGATTTCAATCGAATATCAATGATAGGAAACTCCAATATCGAAGAACAGTTTCTTATAATGATTACTATACATTGGAACAAGAACAAGAACAAAAATCAATACCATCATCATCATCATCGTCACCAATTGCTCATGTGTTAATACCGATACCAGAATTAACAGTACCTATTATTGATCGTAATATAACAAATGGACGACAACGATTTCGTTGGAATTTAATTTTCAATGTACTTGTTTGGCTTATCTGTCCATTACCTATTTGGCTACCATTTATTTCAAATAAAATTGCCATTTTTCTCTTAACTTCTATTCAATGTATTTTTGTATTGATTTGGTTTATTATTACCTTACTTGCAGCACGAAATGCATTCATTATTTTTCAGTTAGTTGATAATATTTTTTTTTTAGTAGGTTTCTATCATTTTTCATTTTATTATGTAGCAATAGGAATCGAGATTATTCTTTCTTGTTGTCAACTCAAGATAGAAACAAGATTCAACATCTGGTTGTAATTAGTTGTTATAAAGAACCACTAGAATTAATCAAACGAAGTATAGATACTCTTGCAGCACAATCTGAAGTTAATCGTATTTCAATGATTATTTCTTTTGAAGAACGTACACCAGATGTACATACTAAATGTCAAACATTACAAAATTATTATGCTCAAGCTGGATTTCGAGATCTTATTTTTACTATTCATCCATATGGATTAGCAAATGAAATTCCAGGTAAATGTTCAAATGCAAATTATGCTTTACGTACAGCAATTAAACAATTAAAATTAGATGAAAATGAAAATAATAATCATAATCATACATTAATAACAACATGTGATGCTGATTCACAATTTCATCCTCATTATATTGCTGCATTAACTTATCAATATATCAAAGATAATTATCCAGCATTAACAACAATATATCAACCACCACTTTTTTATAATTGGAATTTAGATGCATCATCATTTTTTACTCGTATTACAGGTCTACTTCGAAGTACATTAATGTTAGGTGCATTAATACCATTTTCAATAAATACAATGAGTATATTTTCATTTTCATTATCATTAGCTAAAGCTGGCAATTTTGTTCATCCAGCTTATCAAATGGATGATATAATATGTCTTATTCGATGGATGGGTGCAACAGGTCGTCGTCTTTCTATAAAGATGGTTTTAACACCTGTTATAAGTGGACCAACATGTGGTCGAACAATTGAGTACGAATTTATGGAATGGACAAGACAAGCAAGACGATGGACTATAGGAGCAGCTGAAGTTTTTCATTATTTTATGATTAAATCTCGACGTATTCCATTTTTAACTTCATTATCATGGTCAATAACATTTCTTATCTATTATGGTGTATTACTTTGTTCAAGTGGTCTTTATGGTCTAACATATTTTGTTGCTATACAATTTCTTCTTAATGAAATTCCAAACTATATTATCTATATAACATATATATTACTTTCAATTCAAATGTTATCATTTTCAGTTGCGTTCATTATTGATATATTTATTTCTCGTCTAATGAATATAAAACAATGTATATTTTTTTTACGAAATATTTTTCATTTTTTAATGACACCTTTTGTACTTATTGGTTATTCTTTAGTTGAATTTTATGCTTTACATGAAGTTATGATACGAGGAAAAAAAGTTTGTAAACATGGAGCTTCAAATAAAAATACACTTAATTAAATAATAAAATTATTTCGTTGTATATTCTTCATATTCTGTTTGATAACCAAGTAATTGTTCAATTAAAGAACCAATTTTAATTATTATTTTTACAAACGGGAATGGTAAAAATATAGGATATGTTTCAATATTATCGACAAATACGAATGCTTGCCATATAGTCATATATTTATCACGAACAACACCAACTATATTTTCAAATGATTTAGCTGATAGACCACGGTCTTTATATGTTGGTTCAATACGAACAATTAAAATAAGATCTTCTTTATTATCATTCATCCAAAATGTATGAGGAATATTTGGATGAATAATAATAGGTGATGGACATGTATGAATATCACACGAATATATTTCATCACCATATTGATAAGAGAAATGACCTTGAAGAATAGTAAATATTTCTGTTTGATAAGGATGTATATGTAAAAATGGTGTGCATGATCGTTTCTTAGGTGGAATTTGGAGATTACCACAAATTCCTTGACTATATACAGTATGTTTAAATTCTAAATAAGCATTTTTATTTTGTTCATCTCGATTATAAAATTCATATCCATTAGTAAGAAGTCATCCATTAAGAATGGAGATTTAGTCGATTGTCACCGACGACGATTATTGCTAATTGAATTCATAGTCGAAAAGCATCTGGATCAAAAATAATCCATTCTATACATAACATAGTGTTAAAATTAATTAGTTTATTATCAAATCAGTTGATTACCATATGAGTTGTTAACTATCTCCATTGGTTATCACATCCGTTGTGAGTGTGGATGTCAATTTAAGAGAAAAACATCTAATATTTTCATATGAAGATGTTATGTTAGATGAATCTTTTGTACGAGTTCGGAGTAACTAAATAGATTTTTTATAATTAATCAAAATTCAAATATCATAATTAATTTCAATTAGTCTTACTTTTGAAATCCTATAACGATGGTATTCAATCCATATAGCTAAACATAATAGAAGTATCCATTTAAGCCATCAATACATGTTTATAACATGAAAAACATTGTTTGTTGACGAGAGGATTGAGTAATATAAATGTAGTAAACTTGCGACAATACTTTTATATCGCTATAGATCAACACGACGTAAACTTCGTAAGAAAAAAAACTGTTTTGTATTTTATCTAATGAAAGAACGAAATAAATTGCAAAAGAAATGGAATCATGTGATTCTTCTTAATGATTGCCGTTTGGTTTCTTTTACATGTCAGTAAATATAAGGATTGAATTTCATTTCTGTTAGTGTACATAAATTTAACGAACAAATTATTATGTAAACATATTCTAAAGAAAACAAAAGAAATATTAGATTCGTTCAATTCCTAAGATAATTTTAAAACTTTATGTCAAAGACTATAAATGTATAATTGATCTAAATAAGTTAATTATAATTAAAAAAAAAGGTCGTTTGATTATTGTTTATGTATTTGTTAAAAATCATCTCTTTTTTTTCTGTATTTTCATGTATATTATTTCTTATGATCTTCTGATATAAATTAATTCTTCAATCGAGTTTGTTACATGTATAACTGATATTAAATAAAAGATTTAATAGAAAAGATAAAGGAAATCATTGATATAATGTTCTCTTACAAATCCTTGTAGAATTAATCAATGAACAAGAGAAAAGCATACATTTACATCAGCAAAAAGTTTATTTATTCTACAAAATAAATCGAAAATTTCTATAAACTATTCAATAATAAAGGACGGGGGCGCATAAGACCGTAATTTGGCCCATTGAACTTTTCATACTGTATCCAGCACAATCATATATCGGATGAAAGAGCTTCAACTGGCGAGTACTTTCCAATACATTTGACGACTTCCTTCCTTATGATTTCGAATGATCTTGTGACGAATACATAGTAATTACATGACAACCTTTCATATTAGTTTTATCCATATAAATTCAAAAAAGTTAGCTTCAATTATATACCATCGGATAGCTCTTTTCACGGGCTACAAAACCATATAGGTTTTAAA